GCCCCCGCCTGCCATAACCGAGCCGCGCACGTCTCTCCGACAGACGCTCTCCTCCTCGGGGTGACACCGCGGGCTCGAAAGGAAGCTCCAGTCTGGGCTTGCAGGAGCCCGGTCTCCCGCGGCCGCGCTGGTCTGCATTCCCGCCGGCAGTGCGGCCTCCAGCTCCCTTCTTTTTGGCAGTTTTGTGTTGGCTCTTTGGGGTCTTTGGTGATTCCAAATTTTATGATCGTTTTCTCCGTTTCCGTGCCGAATTTCACTGCTGTTTTGGTAGGGGTTGCACTGAGTTCGTCGAGCACTTCGGGTAGTATCCTGGAACTCTGATTCTTCCAAACCATGAACAAAGCGCATCTTTGTTTTCTGGTGTCTTTTCCATTTCTTTCTTCAAGCTCCCTTTTTTTTTTTTTTAAGTCTCATTGTAGGCATCTTTCAGTTAGACTTATTCCTAGTTTGTGTGTGTTGGTGGGGAAACGAATAAACTGGACAGCGCTTCCTTCATTTCTGTCTGAACCTATTTGCTGTAAGTGTGCAACAATGGTAATTTCCATATGTGGGTTTTGGATCCTCCGAGTACCTTACATTCTTTGACCATTTCTAAGTTTTGTTTGTTTTTCAGTGGGTTCTTCTGGTTCTTCCATATATGTGACCATGTCACCTCCAAGTAGGGACATTTTCATTCAATGTCATTATTGCTACATTCTGACTTTTACATTTTTCTAGAGAGGTCTTTGCTATAGGGTGTGTGCGCTCCCTGGAGACACAGAGCCAGAGACAGTGAGAAATCATTGGCCCGGGGATGGCCACACCACAATCCCTTCTCCTCCATTCTCCTCTCAGGATTGTGGACATGCACGCACATGTGCCTGGCATGGGTCTGGGACTTGAGCCATGGTCAGCCATGAGGGAGTCCCGCACCTTAAGCACCACGCCACCTGCTGGACCTTATTTGGAAGTTTTTAATGATGGTTTGAATAATTTCTTTGTGTGATTGCTCTGCTGGGCATCTTATACTTTCACGTGTTTTCATGGTAGTATTTATCTAATATTTCTAGATGTGGGACTACTCTCAGTTTTTCATTTTTAAAAAATTTTTGCGAGGGTGCATGTGCTCACCAGGGGGGGATAGAGAGAGGAGAGAGTGAGTGAGCGAGCACTCCCCATGGGGAATGGTCATGCTGCAATCCCTTCTCTTCCATTCCTCCCCCCCCTTTGGGATTTTGGACTTGCCCTCCCCCCCCCTTTGGGATTTTTGGACTTGCCAAGTGTGTTTCTCCAGTTCCTGGATCTGGGACTCAAACCGCCCAGTTAGCCATGTGGGATCAGCCGTCCCAGCCACCACACCGGGGCTGCCTGCCTCCCCCTGTAAGTATTTCTCGAAGAGCCAGCCTAGTATTGATGAATTCTTTGTTTTTGTTTATCTGGAAGTTGTTGGATCGTTGGAAAAATGCATCATGACTTTTCCAGTGACTCGGTATTTTATTTCCCCTTGCGTTTGAAGGCAGCTTTACCGGTTACGGGATTACTGGCTGCGAGCGTTTTTCTTTCGGGATTGTGAGTATGTACCCCACCCCTCCTGGCCTGTCCGGCCTCTGCCGAGCAGTCTGACGGTAATTGCGGGTACCCTTATATACAAGTCGGTGCTTCTCTCTAGGCATTTTTACTGCTTTGTTCTTGTCTTTGACTTTTGACATTTTGACTACAATGTACCTTGGAGAGGATCTTTTCATGTTAGATCTAGGTAGGCTCCTTTGAATTTTCTAGATCTTGCCGACAGGATCTCTTCCTAGGCTTGGTGGACGTTAATATTTTGTGAAACAGATTTTCTTTATGACTTCTGCTGCTTCTCCTTTTGGAATCTCCATTATGCGATATTTGATTGTTAAGCGATGTTCCATGATTCTGTGCGGGATACTCATTTTTCTTTTTGGGGGGAGGGTTTTGCTTTAGGGCCGGTGTGCTCACCAGAGAAACAGAGGCAGAGAGGCAGAAAGCGAGAAACCACCCCGGGGCGGTGGCCAGACCACAATCCCTTCTCTATTCTCCTCTTGGAATCTTGGGCATGCACGCACATGCACCTGACATGAGTTTTAAGCAGGGGGTCCAGGACTCAAACCGCCGTCGACTCCGTGAGAGTCCAGCGATGTATCCATTATGCCATCTGCTGGTCCCACGTGGAGTCATTGTTCATAGCGGGAATATTTCTTTGCCCTGCAGCTGTGTCCTTTAGAACTCGTTGGATGGCTGCTGTGGGTTTTTTGTTTTGTTTTGGCTCTGGCTCTGGGTCTGGTTGGATTCAATACTGAGGTCTCTGTATAGCCTCAGGGTCACTGGTGGTGGCCGGTGTATTCAGGGTCTGGGTGAGGCTAGTATGTGCTGGCGTCCCACATGTGTGGGGTACATTTACCAGTGACAGCAGCTGCCTGTGGGGTGGTTTCTGGGGTTTTCAGTCCTTAGGGTGTGTGCTCACTGGAGAGAAAGACACAGCAGGAGGGAAAGTGAGAAATTCCCCCGGGGGAAGGCCACACCGCAATCCCTTCTCCATTCTCCTCCCAGATCTTGGGCACGCGTGCGTGCGGGTGCACGCACACACAAATAGGCGTGATTTTCAAGCCACCAGGTCCGAGACCCGAACTGTGGTCAGTCATGTGGGAGTCCAGCGATGTAATCGCTATGCCATCTGCTGGCCTCCACTGTGCCCACTGTTAGCGAGCGAGGAAAAGTAAGCTAGAGCTGAGTGTAAACAGAGGCTGACTGAAGGGAGTCAGGCCCTCCGAGCCCTCCGTGGGGGGCGGCCTTTACCACGCGGCCACCCCTCCTCCCTGGAGCAGCTCTCTGGACTGCCCGTCTGTTGGGGCATCTCCTCCGAGTCAGTCGGGGGGTGGGGCCT